TTAGTGAACGCTTTTTGCTGCGGAACATTGTTTCGTTTCGTCAGTCGTCTTCGTTGATTTCTACGTGAGAACACTACAACAATGGGACTTTTTGATGTGAAGTATTTGAGCGAGAAAGAGCTGAAAGGATTCATTTCTTACAAGGCTGGATATGAATTAAGGTATTTCTGTGAAAGGTTCATTGGTATCGTCTCCGTTAAGGCACCCATGTTGATGTGTATACAAGGTATTGTTTCAATTGAGAATCCGCTTGAAGTAGTCTGGTTTTAGACTCCTCATTATCGGTATGAGGGCCAACTTAGTTGCTGAGTTATGAACTTAGATATAACCAATGATGGGTACGCCACTAAAAAGTGGCTTTTCTAATCACCAATCTGCTTAAAGAAAGTCATTTTATGGTAAAAATAATTCGTTGTTTGCGCGGCTGACGAAGTGTAGCGAAAAGCTCTCGATAAACGTGCCCTTAGCTGAAAAAAGAAGAGGTAATTTTCGATGCTCAGCGAAATTAGTCCTCTATGGCTACTTTCACATATTCCTTCAAAAATTACAACCGCATTGCTGATTTATCCGGGAAGAACCTCATCACGCCATTATGAATTTTTATTGAATTATTTAATAGCACGTAATCATTCCATCAATAAGTACCAGTTAACAATAAAAACAAAATTCAACAATAAGAAAATAACCAAACGACCAAAACAGAATGCATTAATGAAAAGCAGTCAATTGGCAACAGCCCACATTACACTTTCTCATTCCCATTTAGGAATACCAGCATGCTCAGCATTTCATTTGAGAGTTTGGGTCGTTTGGACCTTGTTGGTTCCATTGGCTCAGTCCCCTTATGGCAGAAAAACATGGGGAGGATTCCAAAATGAATCCGCGAAACTGCTACTTCATCTTGTTAATCTGCTCAATTTCTAAAGTTTTGGAGAAAACATTTGCAGCCAACTTAGAATGAACTGGTTGTTTTCTTCTTTCCAGTATGCCTTCCTTAATAGTAGATCAATCACTGCGATTCTGAACTGATCCTAGCAAAATTTGGTATCTCATTAAGACAAGGGAGGCTACATCGACAATATAAATTCAGACTTTAAAAGTGCGCTTTATCCGATATCCATATCTTAATTTCGCTTTAAATCACAAGCATATGACATACGAGGTTTTCTATTCAGTTGGATCTGAGATTTTCTAACGAACCGTTTTGAATCATTTCACTTGAATCACTTCTCAAGAAGTATATGAATCACTTGGTGATTCATATACTTCTTGAGAATGCATCAACAGTGGTGTTCATCATGGTTCCTTTCTGGAATCCCTTCAGTTTCCTATTCTCATTCAAGGTCTTCCAAGTGCACTCTTCCAGAGTCAGTATGCTTCCATTTCGGATATAATGTTAAGGTTTTCACGCTCTCCAGCAATTGGAAAACCGTACATACCATTAAACAGTGGTCTTCATATTTGACTTTACCGCTAGCTTCAAGACAAACGGAGTTGACTAGAGTTGGTTTCGAATTGGTAAGAAAAATACTAGTAGTTTCTGCAACATTCAAAACCGAGAATTTGCTCTGTTCACATTCGTCAGAGATCAAGCCCTTATTATTTTTCTAGCAAAGTTAATGAAGATCGCATCAGAGCCTCACTCATATTGAGATCGTTTAGCTTCAAAGAGTCATTCCTGCTGAGCAACGCAGGTAATCTGAATTCGCCCACTCCTTGAACATGTCTTTTCTCGCTGATCTTCCTCTGATTCACACGGTGATAAACATTAAGTTTATGTCGTTGAAAATGTTGGAATATCTACACGTTTCATCTTCAAATGAAAATGTGGAAAATTCAATAGCATTCCCGGATAACAGGAGAGACAGCAGATCAATTACATGAGATAACAGAAGATCAATTTTAGGATCCGAAACTTTAGAGCTGCGAAGATTTTATATTGATCGTAATAGTTTTATATTAATAAAGCCTACAACATTATCCAACGAAATATTTATCTCCCAGTGGACGAATTCTTCGCATTTTCCTTGAGCAATGAACAACGATTCTTTCAAAATAATACACTGAAACTCGCTGTCAAACGTTGCGAATTAAAGGCTCCAAAACGTTTGCTCGAAAATAGAATGGTTCGATCCTGGAATCTACTCTTCCAACATATTCTCTCCTCACAATTGTTCCAAATATTCCGATGCAGACGTCCTAAAATTATGTTAAATATTCAACAAGAAGAGTAAAGAGAGCAGCTAATGCACCTACCTAATTTATCCATTTTCACTTTATTGATTTAGATATCGTACGATTGAACCGCCTGATATCGTTCTTGGTGTGTGATAATTTATACAATTTGATTTTTTCTCCTTATTTTCACCATTTGTCCCCTCCACAGCATCAGTTGGATCAGTATATTCGCCACATTGTAATCATTTGCAGCTTGCATTACTGCACATATTATCAGACGAATAAATATCACTCATCCTTTCCTAGCGAAAACGAAAGTGAGGAAAACATCATTGCAACCTAAAGCCACAGTATCAACTTATTTAAAGTCATATAGACTAGTGAGCTCAAAGATAACGATAAAGGTGCACTTATAGCAAGTCTTCTAGGTATCATTGAATATTCATCTTCGATCCATAAAGACAAACACGAATATGATAAGTTTGAACTCAGCATTTATCACTATTAGAGCAATACTATGAATGCTGAATATCTTGATGTTGGAAGAAATAAACATTCCTTTGCAGATGTAAAGTGTCGAGTTAGCGGAGGTCTAAAAAAGCAGCTCGCTGAAACGATAAACAAAGAATATGGCGATGTTTTTCCTATTTTGTGCCGCCAAAAAAATATTGCAGCGGAAGTTATAGCTGTATGAGAAATGCAACGCATTATCATGCCACCGAAATGCGAAATAGCGATAAGTGTGCTATGGCCCACCACTAGATGCAACAATAATAACAATAATGAAATAAAATACATTATAATAATGCGTTCAAAATTTACAGTATAACGCAATTGACACCAGTTATATCTCCCACTATATCACTTACCCTCTGTGGGATTGGTTCTTGAAGGTGAGCAAAATTTGTTATCGTTATTAATTGATTATTATTACTAATGTTTTCATTGTTGTCATTACTGTTGTTATCGTTATTACTATTAGTTTTTGTATGCTCATAGTTACTATTATTCATAACGGTAAGTCTCACTTGCGTGTAAAGTTTCGCCGGAAACCGAATGGTATACCAATGTTGCTGTTTTTAGCGAACCTACGACATGCTACGATTCGGCTTATTTAATATTGTCCAATATTTTTAGACTAGTTCTTAGCATGCACCAATATTGCTGTTTTTATCGAACCTGAACCAGGCTTTCATTTGGCTTATTTCAATTATCCAGTATTTTTAAACTTGTTTTTAATATGAACATTATTTCTGTTATCTTTATCAACATCCTCATCAGTGTTATTACCATTATCCCTTTCATAGCCAACATTATCATCGTCATCGTTACCCTCACTAAGACGTCACATCAATATTACTGCAAAATTAGAGTGGNGATCCCCGTCTCCGAGTCCCCAACCCCGTCTCCAACGTTTTTCGAGCAGCGAACAATTTCTGGGACCCCGAATGCAAAATTTTACCACCAATTTCCGCATCCCTACTGTTTTTCCCTCCCTGCACCACACTACTGTAAATTCGTTTAAGTCTCCTGAACAATGAAAATATCGCAACATTTTTTCAGTTCATACCCACATGGATAGCGCCGAACGTGTTGACGTTAGCTGGTTTCATTTGTGTTCTTATTGGTCATTTGGTTATCACTTACTACGATTACTACATGGACGCGAACACACACTATCCTTCAACAAGTTTGTGTCAACTTAATATTGCCATTTACATATCTCTACAGTAAGACACCAAAGTATCATTTTAAAATGACCAATGCAAAAGAATAATCAAAAAATTTATAAATATTTGAACGAATACATTAGGAAAATGATACATAAAAATGAATGAAATGATAAAAGATGATAGATAAATGATAGATAATGACGATAGAGTGATAGATAAAAACAGATGTATAAAAAATAAATGAAAATGATAACGAATTTGTATAGTTGGATGCATCTATGCTTTTGACAATGAGAATCGTGACAGTATCTGCAGTTATCGTCGTCAATTTTGCAAACACCCAAGCAAAAAAGATATTCTGTTAAATTGCCATGTTGAAGCGGCGATACCCAACTGGGTTTGGCTCTTTCTGGCGATCACGTTTTTTGCCTATTATGCGCTCGATGGAATGGATGGAAAACAAGCACGACGAACCGGAACGTCGAGTCCAATCGGAGAACTTCGTAAGTTCACTTTGAGTTTCGAACTGGAGACGCTTCCAAATGCTATCCACGGCTGTCGACAGAAGGAGGATGAGAGAGCGTGGGAAAAAGAAAGGGACAGAAGAGGAGATTAATAAAGTAACTGAATCATGAGGTAATCAATGGCAATTATTTAAACATAATTTAAGTCGATCACGGTA